TTTCTTTCTCTCTCTTTCTATCACTTTCTCTCTCTCGCTCTTTCTTTCTCTATTTCTTTCTTTCTCTCTCTCACTCTGTCTTTCTTTCTCTCTCTTTCTATCACTTTCTCTCCCCTCTTCGCCCTTTTCTCTTTCTTTCTCTCTCTCTCTGTCTAGCTTTCCCTCCCTCTTTTTTTCTCTGTCTTTCTCTCTCCCCCTCCCCCCTCCCTCATTCTTTCCATCTACAGGTACAACTGAAAGCTGAAATGTTGTGATTCTGTCTTTCTTCAGCTCTGTCATTACTAAACCTCCGTTCTTTGTCCTCTTGTCATCAGAGGTGTGACGGAGGGCGTCACTCTGCTCCTGCTCGCCCTGCAGACAGGTCTGTTAGACATGCAGGCCATGCAGCGCACCTTCCTCCTCAGCATCATCCTCTTCATCGTGGTGACTTCAACATTACAGTCAATGATCGAAATCACAGATCCAGTCATTCTGGCTCTGGCTGCATCCCGCAACAGGTGATGGCAACAAGAAGGATTTTCATGTCTTTTTATGAAGTGGTATTTTTATTGCAGTATTCTCATCGGTGTGTTTTTCATTCATTTCTTTTTCTAGAAGTCTGTGGAAACACTTCCGCGGCCTCAGCATGTGTCTGCTGCTTCTGGTTTTCCCCGTGTTCATGGCGTATAAAATCTCCCAGTTCTTCCACATGGACTTCTGGCTCCTGATACTAGTGTCCAGCTGCATGCTGACTTCCCTTCAGGTACGAGGAGTGACAGAATAACCTAAACTTTGTTTAAAACTGAATTTTTCCTGACTTTGGTGCCCCCCACTGGTCATAGAGGAAAAGACCGATGCAGCTGCAGTTCTTCCTGCATTGTCTTCATCAGTCTTCATCAATGTTGTCCCATATTTTTTCCTGCACAGAAACTTGTGCCACAGGACTCAAGTAAATGAGGTTGTAATCACAGTCTTCATATAATTACAGCATCTGTTCATTTTAACTTTCATATTGAAAAGGGAAACGTCAAAGGTCTTTGAGAACTTCTCTACT